CCCACAGGGAACCATCACTCTTGGCTTGTCCCATGTCACTGGCAGGACACCTGCTACCCCTGAGATTTTACTGTTTAAACTTGATTCTTTTGTAAGCTCCTCCCTGAGGCTGGTTGAAATTTCTAGATCATCTATTTTTTAAGTTATTTTTTTATTTTATTTTTTAAGATTTTATTTACTTTATTTTTAGACAGATGGGAAGGTGGGGAGAAAGAGAGGGAGAAAAGCATCAGTGTGTGGTTGCCTTTCATGTGCCCACTACTGGGGATCTGGCCTGCATCTCAGGCATTTGCCCTGACTGGGAATCGAACTATCAACCCTGTGGTTCACAAGACAGTGCTAAGTCCACTGAGCTATGCCAGCCAGGGTTAGAACATCTATTTTTATAAACTATATGTATACAAATAGAGTATAGTTATTATTCTCTTTGGCAAAGCTTCCCATGTAATTTTGAGCAAATTAAATAGGCCTAATTATTTCAACAACTTCTCTTTTATAAGGAGACAAAATAAATCCTTGAGGTATTTCAGGGTAGAATAATTCAAAGTAGTTTCTCAGTTTTTAAAATTTAAGCTTTTTGAAGGTTGTCAAATATACTTAACCAAATGATTATAACATAAATGTTTTGTAAAACAACACCTTTTTGGTAATAATACTTAAAAATTATTAATCAAAGTTCAAACAGGTTTTAATATCAAATATTTTGCCTGGAACATAGGATCATGCTTAATTCATATACCAGTAAGCACTTAATATCTTTAGGCCAATAAAATACTGGACCCTAATTTTGCCATCCGGAGGCAGCAAATACACTACATGTAATACACAAACACATAGCACATGAAAACCATACACATGAAGACTAAGCACATAAAGCGAGCACACATAATCTGAATTAAATTTTTTGTAGAGAAAGCATGTGATTTTTCTCATTTGCTTTTGACAACTTTTAGGAAGACTGGGAAAGGGAGTGGAAGGTGTTAAATACCAAGCAAGAAGACCTGTTGAGACTCTCAATAAAACCTTCAGGGACTATAAAAGAGTGGTGGAAATAAATATATTCTCAGTTCCAAGCAATCTAGCAGTAGGAAAGAGCCTGGGTGGGGTTGCTCTGCCCCCAGAAGGGTCAGAAACCTGGAGACAGGAGATAAATTCTCCAGATAGAGGACCAGGAGTTATAGTCCACACCAGTAGAGAAATACAAAAAGATGGATGTGTTTATCCCATGCCTAAAGGTGACCTTACCAATGATGAAAACACCAGCTAGATTCCCCGGGAATCTTCCTGAGATTCCCTGAGATTCCACTCAGATGGGAACTCAATAGAAAGCCCACTTCAGAGAGCCACACTGGCAGACAGAGAGAGAGAGAGAGAGAGAGAGAGAGAGCAGGTCTAAGAGAGAAAGCCCATTTGACCCATGGATGTGTTTACCTCATGCTCTGAGGGTGGCCTTACCAATGACCAGAGCACCAAAGAGGAAGGAAAGGGTCCCTTCAGATGTCAGGGCTGATCAATTCCTCATTTGCTGGACCCTATGTCCCACGTGTCACCTGGAAACAGTTGTATAGGGTGACTCCATGTCCAGAGGGCAGTCTTACCTTCTATTACTAAAACTGTATAATTTATTTCAACATAATTTCAACTTTTAACTTTTAGAAACCTCAATTTCCAATAATGACCAAAAAGTAAGGAAACAACATTCCCTAGACTGACTTTTATGAACACATCTGATGACCTTTAAAAACATAGGTTTCTCTATTGGCAAACACATTCTCACTTTCAATAAATACATCTCCGGTAAAGCATAAGACATTTATTTATAGCTCCAAATCTACTCTACAGCCTGTTTGTCATGAAAAGTCAAAAGCAGGTCTAGCAATCAATGTTTCAGTATTTCATGTTATTTCAAAATACCTAGACATTCAATAACTATATCCAAATTTACTAATTTAGAAAAGAATAGCTTAAATAAATGTAATTGATTTGTTCAGATATAGCTAAGGTTTTCCCCTTTTAATAGTAATTATCTCCACAAAATTTGTATTTTAAAAGATGGCCTAGACAAGCGTTCTTGAAGAAGACCAGGTATTTCCATTTCAAAAATATAGGGCAGGAAAAGCTTCTCTTAGAAGGACTTTGGTTTCACAAATCCAATTATCTATAAGTTTTAAAAGATGAACAGAGGAGGTTTGGGAAAGGTAAAAGGATTTGGTGGGCTTTCATGTGCTGGAACCACACCTTTGGCCCTATAAAGACTTTATTCATAAAACAAAGGCAGTTGTTTTTAACACCTTAAGAATTGGGTAACCATTAAAATGTTTGTAAAGGACTGACAAATGCATTTATCCATTTTTGAAATGTTTTTTCCATCTGGCTACATTTTACTAGTTTACTGACAGCATATAGCTTAGGGACATCTCTGTGAACCATAAAGGCCTAAAATAAGGAACCTCTGTCTATTTCCCTTGGTAATAGTAAAATTGGTTCAATTGTAAGATACTGTATTTTGCCATGTATAATGCACATATTTTTGCCCAAATTTTTGAGGGAAAAATAAGGATGCCCATTATACATGGGTAGTATTAATTCCGTATCTATATAAATGTTTTTAATTCCTTTATTTGTGCTTATGTATTAAAAGTGTAACTCTAGAATGCAATAATGATATCCGCATGTAAAATAAAAACCTGGAATATGATAATTGGTTTTGTTGAACATATGATGAACCTGCAACAAAAGCAGTTTTGGCCAATGATTCAATGAAATGAAACTAAGAGTAACATATTGTTATCCACAGAGTAATATAGATGATGCTGATTATTATCAACTTGATAAGAGAGCTGATGCCAATTATTACTTACCTGATAAGATAGGTCATGCCAATTTTATTACCATAAAGTGGCCAGTGCAACATTTCTCTTCATACACTTTAGGCGAGAGAAATTATTGGAAAATACCTTAGAAAATGTCAAAACAGCTTTTGTATACTGCAAACTTTAAGCTAAAAGTTATTAAATATGCTAAAAAGCATGGCAACAGAGCTGCCAAGTCACACTTCAGATCTCCCACAGAGAGTGTCATTAGACTGTGGAGGCAACAGGAAGAAAAGCTTCTTCAGATGCCAAGACAGAAGAAGGTAATGCAAGGGAAACCTCCAAAGTGGCCAGATGCAAGCAGGTGGTGAAGATCTGGATTCTGGAGCAGCATCAAATTGGAATCTCTGTTTTGCCAAGATAACACACGAAGGGAAAAAAAAATTGATTATTTCTTAGGGACACCTAAATGGTTAAAACTTTATGAAGTTTTGAGTGTGAGGACATGAACAAAACTTGTCCCCAAACTTCCAGCAGCCTTTGAGAAACAAGTTTTGGAATTTCATCCTTAAGTTATCAATCTTCAAAAGACTTACAACTTTGAGCTGTTCCAAATCACTAGTATGGATAAGGTCCCACTCACATTTGATTTGCCATCCAACAGAACTGTGGAATTATTGACAGGAAAGACCTGGTTCTCCTTGCTGACACATGTAAAGAATTACAGATCAGCAAATCCATTAATGTGTAATCAGTTTATCAGTGACCTGTTCCCATGGAAGAAAACGGACCAGGTAGAGTGGGGGGTAAAAGACAAAGTTTCAGGGCAAAGCAGGGCGGCAAAATAAGAGTGGTTGAAGAACCGGGGTGTCAAACACTCAGGTGGCCCGAGGCTGGCTGGCCAGAGGTCTGATGGCCAGAGAGCCAAGAGAGCCAAGAGCTCCCTGAGCCCCCAAGAGAGTGAGTCCTTTGTTCTGAGGACTTATACGGTTGGTGGGATAGGAGTAAAAAAAGTTATATATTGATTAACGGGTGACTGTGGTGCCAGCTTTCCCAGGGGATGTGACTACTCAAACTTAGGTATTAACTTCTTTCATTAACTTCTCTTCTAATCAAGCACATTTATGTTGGCTCCAGTATTTTACAAATCCAAACAATGCTATCATGACATGCCTTATATAGTCAATAGTCTTTGTGCAAGTTCAAGAGGAGTGAATGGTTCAGAGTTTGTGCATTAAAAAAAATAGCTATTGCCAAATTGTTCTCAATAATGTTCTCCTGATTTACATTCCCATGGTGTACTGAAATACCTATTTCCTCACATTCTCACCAATACTATTGCTGAGTTTTTAAATCTTTGTTGATCTCATAAATTAAAAGGAACATCACATCATTTTATTTTATTAATAGTGAGTTGAAACCCAATACATTTTGTCTCTCTGGGAAATATATCTTTTGTCATCCTTTGGTAAAAATAACATTTTCTATTTTTCATCTCTCACTTGACTGTTTAGAGGCACATTTCTGTATAGAAGTCATTTTATTTTTAATTTTATATAGTCACATTTATCCATTTGTGGCTTCTGGGTTTGAGGTCATGTCTAGAAAGAATTTCCAGGCAAGCTTACTTAAAAAATCAATGTTTTTAAGAGCTTTTATAGATTTTTTAAATATTTAAATATTTCATTGATGTAGAATATATTTTGGTGTAAGAAGAAAGATGGGATGTTGCTATCTTTTCTCCACATAGCTAACATGTTGTTCTAGGATAATTTACTGAATGTGCAACATTAGCTTTCAATTTCCTCATCTTGTACCAAATTCTTATTCATATTTGGGCTTCCTTCTCAGTTATTATTCTGTCCCATTTATCTATCAGCTTATTCTTACTTGTAGCTTTGCTTCTCCTGACTACTTTTTATTTTTCCAGACTAACTTTAGTATCCCTTGGTGGAAGCAGATAAGAGGAGATAGAGGAAGCAGAAATACCTTACACCTCATCAGGGCCTACTGATTTTAGTGCCTGGAAGTGAAAACAATCCAAGGAGGGAGGACCAAGGGTGTCAAATGCCTCAGAAACATTAACATGAAGACAGAACAGTGTCCTCTGGATTTAGCCAATACTATTAGAAATCACTGGTACTCTTAAAATACAGAGGTTGTATAGAAGGGTTAGGTAGGAATTTATTTTAAAATAAAAAATTTTATTAATAAAATTATATTTTATCAGATAGGTCAGTTTCTGTTGCATATGAAGACAATTTAAATCAGTGTCTTAAACAAGATAGTGGCTTTCATCTGTTTCACATACATGAAGTTTGGATGCAGTCACTGTGCAGTGAATAAGGACCAGGCTTCACTACCTCATTGCACCATCTCAGTGTTGGCTTCTATCTTCAAGATTGCTTCATGGTCCAGGGTGGCTGCTTGAGGTCCTACCATCATGTGCATATTCTAGGCTGGAAGGATTAGGAAGGGGAAGGTGAAAAGGGCATACTTCCCAGCTTGAGTAGGCATTTAGAAGCTTTCTCAGAATGTCCATCCAAAAAGTTCTACATAGTTATCATTGACTACCAACAAGCTCAGGACTGTGTTGAGGTGTGGAAGAAGTGTTGGTGAGTTGAGGGTATTCCTGTGAACATCCGTAACCAGCCGGACAAGCTTTCATACTGTAGCCTTCATAAATCTACTACAATATTGGCAGGAAAGGGGCCTGGGAAGTACCTTTTAGCTGAACATACTGCTACCTGGAATAAAATTCTAAGGAAGAAGTAGAGATTACTGGTAAAATAGTCAACAACTGTCCATTATGAGCACATATTAAAATAAACAGCTGTATCAAAAGTCCCAAACTGGAAGTCAGAAGACAAATTTCATCTTGGCAGAGATAATTTTACAGTTTTTAGATTTAACAATAGTTAGATTTAACAACTAAAACTCAATATATTTCACACAAAACTCCAGATTTTTGCCTTCTCTTGAATAATATAAAAAATTGGCAATATGCTGGGACCACATTGTCAATGGATATCTTCAGCTAAAGATAAATAGCTGCCTTTCAGAAGGGATACCTGTCCTCCAATTAGTCACTGTTCCCATCTTTCCCTGCTGGTCTGGCCTGCTCATTTAAGTTACCTTTTTGTCTTCAATAGGCATTTGTGTTTACACCCATCGTTTTACAACTGAATACATAATTACTGTTATAAAGCAGTATGCATAAAATGACAGTGGAATCATTAAATTAATTATTAGTCTAATGAGTCAACAAGAATTTAAGTACCATCAGTATGATTAGAGTTATGTGCAAGGCATAATGGAGAACATAGTAGGTTTGCAGAGGAGCTTCTGTCCTCATAAGAGTTACTTAAGGATCTGACTTGTTTCCTTATTTATAAAGTATGTTAGTATTCTAAAAATTCCTTTACTGGTAAGAGTTCCATACAAAGCAAAATCAAAGAAAGTCTTAAGATAGAAAATAACCAAGTATCAGAATTTGAGGTGCTATGTAAACATGGAAGGCTTATTGGAGAGAGACTGAGTGGCCTGCTTGTTTAGGTTAAGCTCCAAGAAAGGACCATGAGTAGGCTCTGTAGAGGATTGTGGTGAGGACAACCTGAACCAGAAGCTGGGTTGGCAACATTATTAGAAGACAGTGAGGATGGCTGACAATGTTGGAGGCCAGAAGTGCTTGGACTGAACTCCATGCTCAAAGTTTGGACAATGTTCTGGAAGCAAAAAGGATGCTTTAAAGATTCCTAAGTGAGAAGTGACAGAATGAAAAAAACATTTTAGGAGGTTTTTAAAGATGATTCTCTCCCTTGAGGTTGTTATGTAAATAGGGTACAGGGAAAGACTAGAAATAGGTAAACTAGTGGAACTAGTTGCATTGATCCAGTTACTAATTCATTTAAAAAATATTTGCAAACTTACATTGTTGAAATAATTTAGGTCAAAGTGTAGTAATGGAAATTAAAATGAACAGACACAAATTGAGAGATAAGCAAAGCAAGGCTGTCCAGATTCAATTAAATCTACAGGATAAAAGACAACACTCAGAAAATAGCAAAGGAAACTAAGAAATACGGCATGGATGAAGGAGCAACCCAAAAGATTTGTAAATCTACTAGATAATGAAAAGAACCCAAGTTACTGCAGGATTATCAATCTCCCTATACTTCGGGAAGGGGCAAGCATGTTTAGGTCCTATTCAATATAAGTCTATGAAGCGAGTTTCTTTCCCTCCCTCTTTCTTCTTCTCTGTGGCCGTATGCTAATTAAGCCTTCCTTTTTTTAAAACAAAATTGCAAGTGCCTGTTAACGGGATTGTTTAATAAAGCGCCCCACACACCGGGTGGGGGCCAGTTGGCCACCCCTGCCCCTCCTGGGGAGGAGACCAGATGCCTGCTCTTCCCACACCTACGCAGAGCCAGCTTTCCCTCTTCGGAGCTGAGTCCAGAGCACGGTACAGAAGTCCAATCGAAGACTAGGGGAACAGGCCGATGGCCGCGGAAGCTGGGCGGTGGGCCCAGAGCATTAAGGCAAGGGCTACTCTGTTACCGTCGCGCCCCGTTGACACTGCTTTTATTGCCGGTGCCCGAGACGTGTGCTCCTGGTGTTCCGCCCTTCAGCGGACGGCCGGACAGCCTCTGTGCTCTCCAGGAGGAAACCGTTCAGGACTCCAGGCCACAAAACCCCACAGCGGTGGGAAGCCCCGGTCAAGCTCCGCCCCTGGGCACGCCCCTTCCGCTCTCGTCCGACTGGGGTCTGTGAGGCTGCCGGAATCTTCTCAGACGCGGCCACGTGGTACGCTTCTTTTTGGCGTGCGCTGCAATCCCCCCGCTTCAAGCCCCCTATCCCCCCCCCCGTGGCGTATTTGCTGGTTTCGTGGGGTCCCAGTATTCCCAAGCTCACTCAGCGCGGCACGGCGGCGCAGGGAGTGGCAAGTCCCCTCCGCGGTCCCAGCGCACGGGCACCCCTGGGATCTGGGCCCGGGAGGCACCGCCCTCCGCCGGCCCAGCTTGCTTTCCCACAGCGCCCAGACGCTGCGAACCGCTGGGATTGCGGTAGAGTTCGGCTTCGCAAAGAGCTGGGCGCTGGGGCCCATGCTGGTGCACCCCTGCAGGCCCTCGCCATGGCCTCCGGGAGCGTGGCGGAGAGCTTACAGCAAGAGACCACCTGCCCCGTGTGCCTGCAGTACTTTGCCGAGCCCATGATGCTCGATTGCGGCCACAACATCTGTTGCGCGTGCCTCATCCGCTGTTGGGGCGCGGCGGAGACCAACGTGTCGTGTCCGCAGTGCCGGGAGACCTTCCCGCAGCGGCACATGCGGCCCAACCGGCACCTGGCCAACGTGACCCAACTGGTGAAGCAGTTGCGCACTGAGCGGCCGTCGGGGCCCGGAGGGGAGATGGGCGTGTGCGAGAAACACCGCGAGCCCTTGAAGCTGTACTGCGAGGAGGACCAGATGCCCATCTGCGTGGTGTGCGACCGCTCGCGTGAGCACCGCGGCCACAGCGTGCTGCCGCTGGAGGAGGCGGTGGAGGGTTTCAAGGTGAGGTCCGGGTGCGCTGAGAAGGACGGGTGGCAAGGAAGAGAGGCGGCCAGTTGACAAGGGAGAAGAGAACCAAAAAAGCTTCCTTTTCTTTCCGTCTAGAAAATGGCTGAGCCGGACTTGTGGTTCACAGCCGTCATTTCCTCTCTGTCAGCTCTAGAGCCTGGGCGCCCAGATTTGGGAAGAAAACCTGTAGACAGTGAGGAAGCCACAAGTTTCCCTGTCCCCACTCTCCTTTCCTTCTGTGCTCCTATGTTTACGGGCTCACGGGCACATTATATGGGAAGATGGCCCACGGGAATCTCACCCCCCCCACCCCAACCGGCTGTATAAAAGATGCTTGTAAAACTATTTCAGGCAAAAACACACCTTAATAGGCAGTATATACATCAAGCAGATACCTACCGCCTAGTCTATAAACATTTCTCTAGCACTTCCCAGTGCTCTATTCTGCTCTAGAAACTCAAGGAAAAGAACACAACTATTTACTGCTTAAGTTATTTAACCACTAAGACTCACAGAAGGTAAGTTATTATAAAGATTAAATGAAATAAAATGATGTGTGGAACTCCTTTGTGAACGGTTGAACAGATAGCACAGCTAAACAATAACAGAAACAAAGTAATGTTTTCAGCATGCTAACTGGAACAGCTGCAACTTAACTTGAAGTCTCTTAGCCCAGTCACATTTCCACTGGGACAGCGATTTTAAACCCCTGTGCCCTGAGAATTTTAAAACATGCAATACCTGACTATTTAGTCAGGGCCACTGAGCTCATTTCTCTTAGATTGTCAAATAAAAATATAACAACATGCCAACACAATGATAGCTGTCTGATGTGAATGAATCAAAATTATATCTTTTTAATATTTTTTTTGTGCAGTCAGCAAAAAGCACATTTTTTTGGTGTGCTGCAGAATTTAGTAATTATTTGATGTGTGCCATGAGATGAAAAAGGTTGAAAATTGTGGCACTAGGCCATGCAGCGTCCTTCAGGGTCAGGTAGTTGATTCACTGTTTAAGTTACACAGAAACTGCCAAAGGAGAGGTTGTGGTGACCACTGTGCCCTGGTGATGGCAGTGTGGTCAAGGGACAGTCTAACCCAGGCCTTGGCATCAGAAATGTGGGTTTCATGTGTGATGAGAATAGTCGTGCTGGTGCTAAGGTCTGCCTAATCTTGAATGACCCAATTTTTCTTGCTCTTCTTAGGAGCAAATCCAGAACCAGCTGGACCATCTAAAAAGAGTGAAAGACTTAAAGAAGAGGCGTCGGGCACAGGGGGAGCAGGCACGAGCTGAACTCTTGGTAAAGGCCTTTGGAATTCACATATAATATCACTTCTGCTGGTTATTTTCTCTTTAGTAAGCCTGGTGTTACTTACTTAACCTTGTCCAGCCAAGTCACCCACACTTCTAGGTAAAGGTGAAACAATGCCTTATGGTGGTTGGAAACCCTGGAGGTCTGACCTATCAAAAGTTTAACCCTCTAGCTTTATGTAGATATGGGTTGACCCTTGACAAAGCTGACAAGGATGAAGTTCTTGGGCACAATTAGCTTCCTTTGGTCCTATTCTGAGATGAGATGTTGACAGTGACTTTGCATAAGCCCCACTTTTGCCTCTTGTTGGAGTGTTCACTTTCTTGACACTTCAATTCTGAACATTTCACTTTGTTTTCTTCCCCTAGTCTCCCAAGGCCTTAGCAAGTGGCTTATGTGCCAATTTGTGATAGGAATATTTGGGGGTTTTGTTATGAGAACCAAAACAAAAAGTACAGAGACTTTTATAATACATACTTAAAAATCCATCACCTAGGGTTTTATGCATTTTTTGAACAATAAATAAGATACTAAAAATTCCCCACCCGTTACAGGTATTTGCATGTTAGAAGCAAACTGTAAGACTAGTACTGTCTAACACCATCTTGTGAGAAATTCTGTCAGCCCTGGTCAGGGTATAGCTGAGAACTTTTGGACAAGGAACTTATTCCCATGATGCCCTTAGATGCCACCACTTGTTCTGCTCACGCAGTCCTTTGAGACCTCAGTTCCCTTTGCTTAAAAGTAGGTCTGATGGATGGAAAACCTTCTAGTGAGTTTGTGCAGAGTCCAATTATTACACACATAACCTTATCTTCTGTGGGGGGATTGTCAAAGTGAGGAGACAGCCCTTTTTTCATAGAGTACCTGGACATACTTCTTGGCTCTAACACCGCCAGTGGGATAGTTGGACAGAGTAATACAACCTTTTGAGGCCTCAATTTTCTCATATGTAAAATGAGTAGGTTGGACTAGACTTGTTTTTCAGCAAGCTTAGTAGTACTATGCTCTCCTCGAATGGTGTGTATTTCTTTGGTTGTCATTCAAGGAATGCAGTGATTGGGGAGTGTGGGGCAGGGATGCTAAATGCACTGTAATCTAGAAACAGTTCCATGCTAGACAGAATTGCTCCCTACTCCACCCCGTGGTGGAGATATATACATACAGATACAGATGCAGATATAGATATAGATATATAGCATCCCCTTAAGAAGCACTTTCAATTAGTTGATCTTTAAAGTCTCTTTCAGCTTTAATTTTCCATTTATATGTTGTGTGGTATATATCTTGAAAAGACTTATCCAGCTGAGCAGAGGTATGAGCTTAAAAGGGATTTATAAACAAAAGTGTTTGTGCAAGTGCTTAAGAAGAGTGGTTAGAGGGATGGTTAGTGAGGAAAGGTTCTCAAGAGTTGGGTTTAAATAGGTAAACAAGCTTTCTATAAAGGACTATATAATAAATATTTTTGGCTTTGAGGGCTATATCCTTTGTTATAACTACTCAGCTCTGCTGTTGTAGTTCCAAAGCAGTTGAAGATAATATGTAAATGGCGGGTGTGGCTATGTTCCAATAAAACTTTACTCAGAGGGAGTAAACAAGGGGAATTTGCTCATCCTTTGTTTACAACAAAGTATTAAAAGGGTCCTGTCTGTGGGAGGTGGGATAGAGAATGAAGGGTAGGGAAATTTTGGCAAATAGATCTGCGCCAGTGAACTTTGAAAATCAGATAGAGGGTGTACCTTATAGTGGCAGGCCTAAGGGAACCCATCAAGGTTATTTATGTGAGGTTTGTTGTAGAAATTGTGTTTGAATGTTACAAATGGTCTTCTACTGGGCACATAACGCTTCTCTGACCGCTTTCCATGGTTCCCCTTTGCCTTCCAGGCAAAGTATGCTTTGGTTTCTTAATTTTTTCTGGCTTTTACCCTCAGTGCTGCATCCAGACAGAGCTAATTGCCTTCTCTCCCTATTCTCTTGCCTGTGTGATTTCTTTTCCTGGCAAGCTATCCTGGCTTTTGACCACATGGTGAGCTCCTGTTTATCCCAGAAGTCTCTGAACACTGCTTTTGTGAAGGCTGTATCAACTTTTCTTATTACAGCTGTCACCCTGTCCATCCGTGATTGTATATGTGTGTCACATGAACCAACTCTCACTTGACAGTTTCTTCAGGGCAGTGACTGTCTTAATTATCCCTGGGGCAATTCAATTCTTGGCCATTATATAGCCAGTCAATAAAGATTAGAAAAAAGTTGAGTGAGTGAACAAGATAACCTTTTTTAGTATTCTGGATGCAATGATGAGATCCTGGAGTGGATAATGGGGGAGAAATGGGAAGGGCTATAAAAGTAAACATTTTCTGTCTTCATTGCCCCTCACTGTGTGCACAGAGCCTGACCCAGATGGAGAGGGAGAAGATCATTTGGGAATTTGAGCAGCTTTATCACTCCCTAAAGGAGCATGAATATCGCCTTCTAGCCCGCCTTGAAGAACTGGACTTGGCTATCTACAACAGCATCAATGGTGCCATTACACAGTTCTCTTGCAACATCTCCCAGCTCAGCAGCCTGATCACCCAGCTGGAAGAGAAGCAACAGCAGCCCACCAGGGAACTCCTGCAGGTAAGATTAGAGCTCCCTGACCAGACAATGCCTGCCGACAAGTCTCCCTTCTCTTAAACAACACGCATGTGAGCAGGAGTGGTTAGCCCGAGCAGTTCTGTAGTGTGACCTTCATAATGCAGGTGGTAAAGCTGCAATAGACCTAACCCAGCCAAGACCTTAGCAAAGTAGTGATGCCTATCTGTCACTTGTTCATTCAA